AAAGCCACTAGTAGACATTCTGAGCTTTTGATTGGTTATTCATGTCGTATACAGAAGTAAGTGTATATAAGGGAGCATTTCCAAAAATGCAAAGAGGTGGGTCGGGTGCCACTGTGTTTGATTTATTACATGAGCAATATCTTAGCAAATTGAAAAGATAAAAGGCTCTTATTTTATATTCTAGCTTGTCAATATCAGTAATTTGAGTTTCTAATTTGTTTGAAACTATAGACTTAGTATTTAAACTTTACAAACATCTAATTTGAACCAGTGCTGCATTCAACATACCATGTGACACAAAAAAATCAATGTTTATCTGTTTTTTTTTAACATTTGCTTTTAAATTAAGAAATTGAATAATGTGTAGTACTAAAATTTGAATTATAATCTACAGTTTGATACCAAACTTATTTACATAAGTTCAAGAAATAGTAGTTCAATAAAATTTTGAATGCGAGGCAACAAACGAGATGACATGGACTTTCACCTGTGACCCGTCTCGAAAGGATTAAAGGAACACCAAATTTCTGTAAGAAAGTTATCTTCAAAGGGGTAATGATGACACTATTTACACTGGAATTATGTTTTTTCTTTTTAATTACTACCAGTTTACAATACTTTTAAAAGTGGATCCTCTGTTTGAAACCATGTCACCTCAATGAAATTAATTGACACCATTGTTTTAGTTTTTGAGTTATCATGTAATGAAAAAGAATCAGAAGAAAGAAGAACAAGAAATTTAAACCTTTTACTATGATATTTATAGACATTCCCAAAACTTGTGACTCAATCATAAGACAGATATTGTTATAAAAGAAAACACTGTATAGTATTCAAACTGGTGTATTTAAATGTTTTACACTCACAAAAATGAAACCTATGATTCTATAGGTATTTGAAGAACTTGTACCATTTCTACTTGGTGGTGGTAGTGTCCAGGGTTACTGATGAGGAGTGGAATTCTCCGAAATTAGTCTGGCTCACAAAGAATAGACCATTCCAAGCTTTTACTTGTTGTTAAACAAATGTTTAAACAACTCTATTTATTCAACTGTATAGTATTGTAAAGTTCTGATGACTTATTGAGGAGATATTTAAAATACTATTTTGATGAACAATCTGAGCCATTTCTACACAGACAGTGCTGCCACTTGCCTGATAAATGTTTGTTTTCTTTCTTTTTTTCTATTAAAACAAATGTTTAAGAGATATTGATCTACTGTTCTCATTTCTTCAACTTGTAAACAACTCTAAAAGTCTTAAAAACATAATGGATTACTGACTCATTTGCAGCTTTTATTGCTTTTTTATCAGGCTGTTGGACTGAATGGTCAGAAGCTGCTTGGTATCCCAGTAAATGTGCAACCTTCTCAAGCTGAAAAAAATAGGCAAGCAGCACTTGCCAGTAACCTACAAAAAGGTGGTAATGGACCTATGAGGCTGTATGTAGGGTCTCTACATTTTAACATAACTGAAGATATGTTGAAAGGCATTTTTGAGCCTTTTGGAAAGGTAAGATTTATTTTCAAATTAAGGTTTCATTTTTTAAGGAATTAGAAATAAGACTGATTTTCTGTAATATATACATTAATTGTTTTTTTCGATAAAAGCTTAACCATCACATTTCAGGTAGGTCAAAGTGGGCATGTCATGACTTTCTAAAGAATTATATTCAAAATTAAGCTACTTTATTATCATTGTATACAAATAAACTTGACATCTAAACATAGTTAATTAATAACATTTTAACCCTGTCTCCCCAGGTACCCTTTACTGCATATGACAGAAGATTTTAGTGTCTTACATTCAAAATTTTACTAAAATACTTTTTGTTTATGTTATACTAATTAGAATAGCATAAAATATTAGCTAATAATACATATGTTGATAGTAAACAAGTTTTAAGTTCTTAATTCTACAAGGAAATATATAAATAAATCCTGAATTTCCACTAGTGTGACCCACTTGACACATTTTGTCTTAGCATGTCATCATCCCTATTTTATCCTTCACCCCTTGAAAATTAAATGTAAAATCATTATTGCTCAAACAAACCATAATTTTTAAAGCCTTCAATTTTGTTTGGTTACATAGCTATCAAATAGTAAATCGGACCCCTCATGCCACACCCACCTGTGACATCCTCTCTTTTACAATTCGTTGATTGTTCTCTCTTACGTTTCATTATATATTACCTATAACCAATAGAAAGTCAGAGTTTTCATCTATCAAAAGACATGTTGTATAACGTTGTGTTCTGAACAGATAATCGTCAGTTTCACTCAGAGTAGCAACATCATTCCCGTGGGAAAGTTAAGGACTAGCTTGGATGAATTTTAACAGCTTTTGTTGCATAGTGAGAAAGCCAGGAAAATTTTGAGAGGTAAGTGAATTTGTCCACTTTTTGCATGTTATTAGTCTATATTCTTCTTTGCATTATCTAATTAAATAAAAATTGTTAAGTGCTTTACTATAATTACTAAAGAAAATCAGGTTTAACTGTCCTCAACAGTTGAGGGCAAGAAAAAAGAAGATTGGGTAAGTACTTTATTTCTTGTTTTTCATATTTATTCTTTATTTATTATTATAATGGTGGTGATAACAGTTAGATACTGTTCAAATGGTTAAAAAAGGGCAATAAAACAATAAAATTTAGATATAAATAGATGTATAATGTTACGAACTTAGAGCTATTTAGGATAAACGAA